TGCTCCTGGGAGCCACTGAATCAAACGGGAAAAACTGTGTCTGATGGAAAGCACTACAAGGGGCGGCAGCTCCTTAGTTAGGAACATAAGGGCCAGACTGGGTCAGACCAAAGGTCCCTCTAGCTCAGTGTCCTGCCTGCCGACAGTGGCCAATGCCAGGTGCCCCAGAGGGAATAAACAGAACAGGGAATCATCCGTGATCTACCTCCCTGCCCCCATTCCCAGTTTCTGACAGAGGCTGGGGCACCATTCCTACTAATCCAGGCTAACAGCCATTGATGGATCTACCCTCCATGAATTTATCTAGCGCTGTGTTGAACCCTGTTAAAGTCCTGGTCTTCACAACATCCTCTGGCAAGGAGTTCCACAGGCTGACTGTGTGCTGCTTGAAAAAATACTTCATTTTGTTTGTTTCAAACCTGCTACCCATTCATTTCATAGGGTGACCTCCTAGTTCTTGTGTTAAACATTGTAATGCTTGTAGTTCCAGCACCTGTGTCGTCACCCCAGTATCCTTTGTCCTCTAGACCCAGGACACTAGCACCCATGTACTGTGACTATGTCCCCCTCCCCCTCATGCCAGTCTGGACCCTCAGCCCTTCCTCCCTTTGCCTGGGGTGGGTGCCCACAGCCTTTACCAGGACACCTCCCCCACCTACCCATGAGTTGGGACCCTCAGTATTTACCAGGACCCTGAGCTCTGGCTGGGACCACTAACTGCTTTATGCCTGGGACCCTCACTCCTCTGTGCCCCTCACCCTCTGTGCCCAGGATCCTGGGACCCTCACCTCTCCCCATCCCTATCCCCAGAACTTTCAGCTCTGTCTGGGACCCTCTGCCTTGGGCTGGGGACTAGGACCCTCCCCCTGGCTCTCCCCATGCTCCTCAACCTATGTACCCAGGATGCTCAGCCCTGTGCTCAGGCCTGCTCCTCTGTGCCTGGCTCCTTCACTCTGTGTGCTTAGGAACTTTACACTCTCTGCATTGGGACACACACATTCCCTTCCTCATTCCATGGGACCCTCTCCCCTGTGCCTGTGACAAAAGCAACTTCCACCTCTTTTCCCAGGACTCTGACCCGACTGTGCCTTGGGCACTGGCACACCTCAGTGCCTAGGACTCTCACCCCGCATGCCCCAGACCCGGGCACAGTCATATCTGGTGTCTGGGAACCTCAGCCTGTGCCAGGGACCATCACCCCTTCACTCTCACCCCCCTGTTGCAGGAACACTCACCTGAGTGCCCAGGGCAGAGGAACATTCAGCCCCTGTTCCTGGGACCCTCACCCCTGTGCCTGGGACCTTCACTGCTGGGCCAGGTCCCTTCACCCCTGTTTCCTGGCAGCTTTGCCCCTGTGCTCGGGTACTGGTACCTTCACCCCTCCCCCATTCCTATCTTCTAGCTCTCCTGGCTCTAGGACTCCCTCTGTGACTGCACTCACCCCTCTTGTGTGTGTGACTCTTTTCCTGCCTTGAGTCTCTCTCCCGCCCACACTGGCTCCTGGGGAGGGCGTGGGGTACAGGGGACCTGAGCTTTCTAATGTCACTTGCTGTTTCCAATGTAGTGATTGTCCACTTCTGAGAATAGCCTCCTGCCCCAATTTCTCTCTATCAGTCCGGGCAGGGCCACCCATTCCCACATCCCCCAGGATCCAGGTGACAAGTAGTCCCTACTTAGAAACTCCATGACATTGAACAAGGGAGAACGAGGTTGAGAAGTGCAGGAAACCTTTCCCGGCTGCTCACTGGCTAGTGAATGGCCTGTCTGGCCGACACACTGCGTGGAGGGGAGCTCTCTGTGTGCCTGCCACTGAGGATGGGGTTAAGCTCTCAGTGTGATTGTGCAGAATGGGGGGGGGAGGTTCTGAGAAGTGGAAGAGGAGGAAGAAAGAAGATGGGAGTGATGAAGAGGAACAGAGTAGGGTAAAGGGGATGAAGCAGGAAAAGGGAGAAGAAGGGATGTTAATCAGGAAGAGAAATGGGGGAAGATGTCCTGGTGGGGAGGGCTTGCTCAGTGGTTTGAGCATTGGTCTGCTAAGCCTAGGGTTGTGAGTTCAATCCTTGAAGGGGCCATTTAGGGATGGGGCAAATCTGTCAGGGAGGGTGCTTGGTCCTGCAGGTGAGGGCAGGGGACTGGACTGGATGACCTCACAAGGTCCCTTCAAGCTCTATGAGATGGTATCTCTCCATACTTATTAAAGAGGAGGAAAGTAGATGAAGGAGGCAGGTGATGGGTTAAAGAGGAGAAGGGATGGAAAGAGATAGGTTAGAGGGAAATAGATAAGAGGAGGTGGTGAGATAAGGGCCCAGAGGAGAAGGGGGTAGGTGGGCTTAAGGAGTGGGGCAAGGGAGGAGATGTGTGGGATTTGGGGCAGGGCTGTGATGTGGAGGCAGCATCTGAGCCCCATGGTTGCTTGGTTTGCAGGTGCGGGCCAGCGCCATCGCACAGGATGCTGATCAAAATTATGACTATGCCAGCAACAGCGTGGTGCTGCACCTGGACTCGGGGGACGAGGTCTACGTCAAACTGGATGGAGGCAAAGCACACGGAGGCAACAACAATAAGTACAGCACTTTCTCTGGCTTTCTTTTGTACCCCGATTAAAAGGGTGGCCAATTGCATTATACCCACCTCACCGCCACTGTCTCTACGGGCCAGTTTAGTGTCGTTATCAAGTTGTACATTTTATTGGTGGGATCCAAACAAAACAGGCGAGCTCCCTTCCCCCTGAGCCCTTGGTGTCTCTCTGCCCTTGTGTGTGTTACACTATGAGATCTGCTGTGTGAAACTGACCAGCACTTTCCATGA